TTTGAACTCCTCTCCCCACCCCAAACAGATTTGGGGTCGCCAGGAGGGGTTTGGGGGGTGCTCAGGGATGGTTTGGGGGGGATCCGAGGATGGGTCGGGGGGTTCAGGACCCCTCCCCCCAACTCACTTTTGGGTTTGTTTTTTTTTTCCGCCCCCTCCCCCCCAGCCGAGTTCGTGGCGCTCTGTCCCGACGGGAGGGGCTTCATCCAGGACGACAACGGCATCGATTACGGGGTCCCCGCGCACCGCGGTGAGACCCCCGAGTGTCCCCCCCATCCCCCGGGGGGGGCTCTGTCCCCGCCGCCCCCTCCCCATCCCCAAAATCCCAATTTTCCCCAGCAGAGCTCCTTGTCCCCTTCAACCCCCTCCGTCCCGGGGGTCCCTGGGGGGGGGTCCCTGACCCCGAGGGGGGGTCCCTGACCCTGAGGGGGGGTCTCTAACCCTGCCCCCCACCCCCGCAGACATCGATGAGTGCGGGCTCTTCGGGGACGAGATCTGCAAGGGGGGGAAGTGCGTGAACACCCAGCCGGGCTACGAGTGCTACTGCAAGGCTGGCTTCGACTACGACAGCGCCCTGCGGCAGTGCCTGGGTGAGGGGGGGTCCCCGGGGGGTCCCCGCGGGGGTCTGGGGGTCCTGGGGGGTCGTGGTGGGGCAAAGAGCGGGGTCCAGAATAACCTTGGCGTGTTTGGGGGTATTGGAGGGTTCTGGGGAATGCTGGAGATTTTGGGGTGGTCTGGGGTCTCTGGGGTGGCCTGGGGGGTCCCCGGGGGGTCGCGGGGTTGCTGCGGGTCCCGGGGGTTTTGGGGGTCCCCGTAACCCCCCCCCGGGCCCCCTCCCCAGACGTGGACGAGTGTCTGGACGAGTCGAACTGCGTGGACGGCGCGTGCGAGAACACGCGCGGCTCCTTCCGCTGCACCTGCGGGCCGGGGGCTCGGTACCACCCGGGACTGCGGCGGTGCCTGCCCGCCCCCGAGCACGGTGAGACCCCCGAGCACCGTGAGACCCCCCCGGGGTACACTGAGACCCCCCCCCGGGCACGGTGAGACCCCCGGGGTACGGTGAGACCCCCCCCCGCCATCGCAGCTTGC